AAATCGTAGGCTTCATCAGAAGTCTAGGGTTAGAGGACCAAAACTAGATAGGGGTAATCCCAATATATCTCCTAGGTCGCAGTGATCGAGAGGTCTCCCAGCCTATACGGACTTTCGGAATCAATTTATATCGAAAATGGTGGATGCTAACGAAACTGAAACAAGAATATCGTTTTAAATAGGAATGATGATATTTTCATATTCGCTAGCCATCCATAGAAAAAAATAGTTGGGGAAAGAAATGTCCCTAGCCTCACCTATTTCCTACGCTCGATAAAAATTTCGGACAATTCTCAACATTTCACAATCGGGCATGAAATGAAATATACATGTACGAAATTTCGTTATCTCATCACAGAGGGTTTCGAAAATATTGACAATAAACCATCATGTCGGACCCTCTTCCAGATGGCTATAACTCCCCAGGGGGCCATTTCTGGGCTCATGTTTATGTAAACTTTTTTTACTATTTTTGTTCCCAGGATCTGTGGTTGAAATCATTCTATGCCGAAAAATTTTCAGTGCAATTTCATGCCTTCCCATAAGGAGGAGGAAAACATTTCCGGAAATGTGTTTATTTGCTATGGTGACGATACAATTGGTCGAAAATGTATTAGATGTGTCGATTGTCATAAACTCTAACTATAGTTAAAAAGAAAGGTTTATTTTGCTTACTTCCTCTGCGAAAAAGACATAACATTCTGAGGACATCTGTGGAACCTCCAAATCGACAATTGAAGTTTTTCATGTTCCATTGCAGCAATAGTATATAAGAAAATCTATACGTTTACACTCTGCAAAATATAATTCCAATTTTCAGCGCCTACCCTGTTCATTTTACAATCATACTGCTGACACAAAAAAAATTAATCGGTTCAAAACTGTATACACGCGTTACCATCGGTAACGATGCTAGTGGGCAAAATTGAAAAAAAAATGATATAAGAAAAATCAAGTTTATATTTGGATTAAAACAATGCAATTATCATAATACCCTTTATGTCTGGCGAAAAATATACTCTATACTTGTGGGTCTTCCATGTAGGCATCCTTAGGAAAATAGAAAAACCGTTAGACAATTATTTTCCACCTCGGAAAATTCACATTTCCCCTGGTCATTCCATACGAAAGCGTAGGCGTTATCACTCGGAAGCTAATGTTTTCCCGAGTAGTTTTCCGATTTCCAGATGGTGGCCAGCGTTGCCAAATAGCATTGCAAAATTTCCTATCGCTTACATAACATAGGAAACAAAACAAAAAAATAATAAAAAATTATTTTCGAAAACTCTTTATGAACACGATTCATTGCTCATATCGCTGATATAATAAAATTGTTTCGTTCAAGTCAGAAATTTTTTTTTCTGTGACGGTGAAAAAGTTTGAAATTTTATTTCTGTTGACAGTTTATGAAATGTCACTTTCGATTACCTAATTCCTTTTTTCCCACGGGAAAAAAGTGAGTACCTTTTTCCTGGATATATATCACATATATATACACTGTTGATAGCTTTTATTATGTTATAGTTACGAAAAATAAGCCAAAAACACCGTCTCCGAAAAAGAACTGTCAATTCTTCCATCTTCAATTCGACTTCGCGGCTACATAAAATCAAATCACAGAATCAGACTGACAGATATTTGATTACTTCAAAATAATGATAAAGTAGCCTGCAAAAAGATGCCTGCAAGGCAGGTGGTGTCATTCCTGTTGAAAACTTAAAATTTCACGTCGATAAAAAATTTTAATATAATATAATATCTTCTCATTATTGATACGTCCTTTTCCCTGCCACAGAAAAAAATAGTGTATTATACACGGGAAAAATCCACTACTTTTTTCCATTGTAGGATAAATAACTATTTACTTATATCTCAAACTACATTCAGTAGAGATATATACATAAACATAATACTATTTTTTTAAAGGTGAAAACTTCACAAACGATTTTTTTAAATCTCGTAATATTCATGTGGTTAAAATAAGAAATTATAGCACTAGATTTATGGTACACGCAGAGAAATTAAGTCTACTCATACCTTCTCTATTTGATTTAGATTTTTCGCATTTTTTTTCAAATACATCGAAAATATTCAAGCTTCAATTTTCAGAGAAATTATGACTTTCCACCTCGAAAGGAAGTGAGAGATCTGGAAACAAAGTTTTCCGTTATCTGAATCGCCCTGTACATTCGTCTACCCATCTCTCTCTCATCAAAGATTTGCCTTCACTTTCGAACACTTACGAATGTGTTCATTAGAGAGAAGAGAAGACTTAAAAATGCCATCAATATTAAGTCAAACATTTTATTTTGATCAGATTTCATATTCGTATCCTGTTATGGGATTATAATAAGGATTAAACACCAAGTAGCCAATAAGAACAAGGTATGGCAACACTGTCGAGCGATCAATACTTGCAGCAGACACCTACCCCTGACCTAGCTCGGATTATAATAAGGATTAAACACCAAGTAGCCAATAAGAACAAGGTATGGCAACACTGTCGAGCGATCAATACTTGCAGCAGACACCTACCCCTGACCTAGCTCATCTATGACCTTCAAGCATCAATTCACCTAGCCAACCCCAGCTGAGGTGCAAGGTGCAGTATCGGATGTAATGGGGTTGTATGTACATACTAGACGAATTTACGAATGACCGTTTCTTTAAATATCAAAAATTGGCACCTTTCAAAAACGCTAGCTCTTAATGACGTGGAATACCGATGAACACCAAGAGAATGGGGAAGACCACTGGAGGAAGAAATCCGTGCAAACCTCTTTCAATCGACGAATCATGATTTACGTTTTATGTACAATCAATATTATGAGTTGAAGTTGAAGGGAATCGAATCTATATCGTTTTAAAATCAGCATATTTCATTCGATATTTCAAACAGCCAAATATGATGATGGAGTCGTGACGTATTAGTCCCGAACTGTAGCTATCCCTCTCTGATACCTCGTCATTCTGCAGTGTTGCAGTGTGATTGGTCAGTTCAAGGGCAATAGGCGTGTTGGGACTAAGACGTCGCACCAGTCACACCAATGAATTGACAAAAATTCAAATGGCGCAGGAATTGTGTGTTTTGAAATGGACATATTCTAATTTATTTATTTCATTTTCTTAGCATGACTGAAATAATTCAAAATAAATTCACTGGTAGTTTTTCAGTATAGAGTTCACAATAATGTCGTTTCAAAAAATCAGTGGTCTCCCCCATTCATTTTCACCGTTGGGGTGTATCGAGATACGGACAATAAAAAGACAGAACTCCTACATCTATTCTAAGATCTCCAAATTTAGCGGATACTACGACTATTGAACAAAAATGAAGATAAATTAAGTTGAATCGATTGCAAAATTCATTATTTACAAAAAAAGTATTCATTTCTTCCTATTCATTCAGGGTTAACATGATCTACACGTCCGAAATATTTTGAATGCGGCGTTGGATTTGATTTCAAATGGAGCACCCTGTATTTAATGCATTTTTAGATTCTTTCTGAAGAGCTGACTTGATCGAAGCATCAAACTTGAGATCTAGTGGAAATGCTTACAGAGATATAGGGTGTTCAAAATCGAGATTTTTCAACGGCTTTCTTCTTTCTATCTTAACTTTGAATGTTTATCTACTGACATTCAATTGAGCTCAGAATTATGAATCTGTTTGTAGGTAGTTGATGAAAATTCATGACATACAGCCTATATCTCTGTGATCAGTCCTGATAGACCGCAAGACATAATCTGAGAATGCAATGAAATACAGGGTGTTCCATTCGACATATCAAAGTTGCTGATACTTTCTAGTCGAAGCGGCAACGTCGCATCATTTCAAATATTCTAGACGTGTAGATCATGTCAATGTATACAGAGTGGGCCTTTGAAAACGAAACAGAGGCTCTGTAGGTCGCCAAAACCGGATTATGAAAAGAATCTGAAACACGTCATCTACATTTTCGAGGGGGACATCGTCCTACAATATTTTCAGCCCTGCGGCGTTGCCGCTGCTAACGAAAAGAAGCAACAACTTTGTTATTTCAAATGGAACACCTTGTGTGTTTATTGCATTTTTAGATTCTCCCCGAAAATTTGATTTCATCAATGCATCACACTTGGGGTCTAGCTGTAATGGTTTCAGGGATATAAAGTGTTCAAAATCGAGATTTTTCAACTTTAACATTTTTTTGTGTCGAAACTAATCATTATTGGTCAAAACGACTCCCATGTCCCTATCTCAACTTGTGATTCACTATCTACTAACATTTAATTGGAACAGATACAGGGTGATCAGAATTCTGAATCTTGAACCACCCTGTATTTGTTTCAAATAAATGTCAGTAGATAGTAAATCACAAGTTGAGATAGGGACATGAGAGCCGTTTTGACCAATAATGAATAGTTTCGACACAAAAAAATTTAAAGTTGAAAAATCTCGATTTTGAACACTTTATATACCTGAAACCATTACAGCTAGACCCCAAGTGTGATGCATTGATGAATTCAGCTCTTCGGAGAGAATCTAAGAATGCAATAAAATACAAGGTGTTCCATTTGAAATAACAAAGTTGTTGCTTCTTTTCTTTAGAAGCGGCAACGCCGCAGGGCTGAAAATATTTTAGAAAGATGTCCCCCTCGAAAATGTAGTTGACCTGTTTCATTTTTTTTTGATAATCCGGTTTTGGCGACCTACAGAGCCTCTGTTTCGTTTTCAAAGGCCCACTCTGTATATTCCATTCTTTTTTCACATTCATCTGTTGCTTTGTTTGCCAGAAACGCTCATCGTGAAAAACCCTGTACATATAAGACATTGAAAATGCACTGAAAATACGTCTGTGAGTAATCACTAGACCAATGACGATTCACTGGGGTAACATTGTTTGAAAATTGATGGCCCATGTATTAATGTCTGCTGGGGATAGTGAATGATAATCAGAAATCTAACATTACATAAAAAAGATAACAGATATACGTGCGCGTCGTATATCGAATATGTTCAATCAACGTGAAACACTCTCTTCATCATTCCACTGTGAATGTTGTTCTTGTAATCTATTTTTTCCGGTGTCTGGTACGATCAGAATTATGAACACCAAGCCAACAGTCAAACAACCTCCAAAAATGAAAAAAGGAACATACCCACCGTAAGAATAATAGGTCCAGTTGAACAGAAGCACAACTCCAGTACTGATAACCCCAAAACTAACATTCAGAATGCACATAGCAACAGTTTTCAGATCAGACGGGAAAATCTCAGCTACAATAGCCACCGGCAAAGTATACAAAGCCATACTGTGCGTTACCGTAAACAGTAGAATAAAAACAAACTCCAAGAAGTCCACCCTACTAGTATCAACTTGCCAACTCTTCACCAACAAAAACACCCCGTTTCCTAGTAGAGGTACTATCGCTAGACCCGCTGAAGCAACAAGAAGCTGCTTCCTACCGAATCTGTCCACTACCAGTGGGGAGAACATAGAAGAAACACAAAAAACAGCATAGTACACCGCGTTGGCTGAGCTAGCTGACATGAAATTCCCCTTATCAAACATGGTTTTTGAGTAGGCTTGTATAGCCCCAGCTCCGCTGAGATTCGTTGTCCAATTCAGCACGAACAACACCAACAAGCACCGCCTCAAACGCTTCCTAAACAGAATATCCACCAACTTGTTGCCTCTTCCATCAACAGAGATACCCGCAACTATCTCATTCAGCTCCTCTTCAACGTCCGTCTTCCCGCGCAACTTCCGTAGGCTGCTTCTAGCCCCAGCCACATCGTTCGTCCACAGCGAGTACTGGGGGCTTTCCGGCAAGAACGGTACCATCAGCAGTACGGACAGAGCCCCTCCAGCTGCTAAATAGCCCACGGTATCCAGCGTTGAGAAGAGCGCCAGCCAGTTGATGGCAGCCATGCCGAAAGCGAAGCTGCACATGTTGATAGCCCCCATGAAGCCGCGTATCTCCACATCAGCTATCTCGTTGAGGTACGGCGGTACTATGGAGAACACCATGCCATCCACCGTGCCTCCCAGTAGCCTCCCCACGAAGAAATAGGCTTGAGAAGGTCCCAGAGCTAGCAGCAACCAGGAGATAGCTAGGGTTGGGGAGCTGAGGAGGATTAGCCTCTTGCGGCCCAGGGGTTTTACGGAGGCTACTGCTAGGAGAGAGCCGATGGCATCGCCGATGAAGGTCATGGAAACTAACCAAGAGGCTTCGGTTTTGGTGAGGGTGAACCTGTAGGTTCCGTTGGTGAGGAGGGGTACTGCGTTTGAGGGCCAGCCGTAATGCATGCCTGTGGAGATGATGGCGACGTTTGCTGAAATATTAATGTTTGTTAGGGCGCCTTTTCGCAGACTGATACCAGGTGATTCATATCGCCCCTGTAGAGCAAAAAGGGGCCAACCGCCAAATAGAAAATTGTGCAGGAGAGCAGGAAATCTGAATTTTTTAGTTTGAAATTATATTTTTTGTATATTATTTTTTATGAGTTTTTGTATGAATAATGATTTACATTTTGCCATTTTCGGTTAGAAAAATGGTATATTATTCGACAAGCATATAATGAGAGCTATTATTCACGAAGGTTGAGTTTCTGTCACGAGCGTAGCGAGTGGCATAATTAAACTGAGTAAATAATAGCTCATTATATGAGAGTAGAATACTATGCTTTGTCCACGACTACAATTGTCTTTGATAAATGAATTTATTTTTGGTTTATCATAACTCATATGACATTAAGAAAACTAAAAATTCATGATACCTGTTATATTAATTGTTTGTCCACGACTGTTGTGATTCCTCAAGTAAAACAATAGCCATTTTTCACAACAGTGAATAATAGCAGTGAATAATAGCAGTGAATAATAGCAGTGTATAACCATTATTCACTGGTTTGAAGATCCTTATATGTTATATCGGGTACCCTAGGAACTCTAGACCGGTGAATAACCATAATTCACCGTGTATAAGATGCGTAAAACTCAGATGGCTCAGCTCTATTATAGAACAAGAATAACAATAGAAATAACCTGCAACAATGTTCTCACATAGGAATGAGAAGTTCCATTTTGAGATTTTCTTAAAAATTGATTAATCAGTATCTTGCTGTTTTCTCGTTTTTTTCCATCGTTTCATTCTTCCAGATTATTTTGAGAGCCAACATTCGCTCAAGTGGAGAATGAGAGAGGAGGGATGGTGATTAAAGATATGGAAAATTTTTGACATTTTCATACCTGAGAAATCGATCATTTTTCATGATACTTTTTTAAAGCTCTACATTTTCTGTTAATCAAGGACGTGTAATATTTCTAGATTTGTTGTGATTTTCTCTCCTCGTTTCAATGAATGAAAATTTAGAAAAATTCAAAAGAATATGAACCTTACTCAATACCACTTCAGAATTTATTTTTTCAGATGTTTTCCGAGTGTTATTCCTTTTCTTATTATGCTAAAGTTGAGACATCGAGTTTTTTAATAATAATGATGATGATAATAATAATATCAATGATATGAAAATGCAATTGAGGGTATACCACGAGAAAACTTACTGCCTATAACTGCAAGGTATTGTAGCCATCTGGAGGATTTCAATTTTTTCATACCGAATGGTATATTTTCCATTTCCCTAGTCAATAGCGAATCAGCATTCTCTTCGGTATGATTTTTCATCACTGATATATGCCGCCTATTTATTTCTCATCATTGAAATTCGGTATAAAATAAATCTGAATAATTTTCACTATTTCGAACACTCATAAGATATTATGTAGGTATAGGTCATGAGTTGAGAAGCGAATTGGCAAAAACATATACATATCTCAACCTTATCTCTATTTTTCAAAATGTTAGCTGTAATTTAGGCCTGAAACAAATAAATGATTTGATGCATTTAGATAATATTTATGAATATTCAAGGTCAATTTTCAAATATAAACTAGTCAACACTTCAAAGTTAATCAGAGGAAGGGACATGTGTATATTCCCTGATATGAATGAAATTCCTCAAAAGTTGTAGAAACTTTCAAATAACAAAACACTTTTTCGTGGTATTTGTTAAAGAAGAAAATTAGAAAACTACCAAAGAAAAAAACATGAACACGACACATCCAACATTTTCGAAGTCTGTAACTTCTTTTTTCTATCCCACCCTGTACACCGACATATCACACGCTCCAGTCGTGTGGGTGTGTCACTAGGAGTGCCCCAAGGTTCCGAATTGGGGCGATCGCTGCTCCATTGTTTATGACATATCGCGGCGGTGGCAGATGAAACTAAAACCGACTCTGTGTACCACCTGCATTGGCAGAGTATACGAGTACGACTAGTCGATCTTAGAAAAAATATATTCACAGAGTGTCTCAAAGAGAATGCACGGTCAAAACCATGTAAATCCAGTGGTTATCCCAGCGAGCACAAACATCCCTGGGATGTTTTGGGATGTTTTGAAAATGTTGGCATGAAGATGTTATTTTGAGACGTAATATGCACTGACCAAAGAGGTCTTTAAAGGATATTGAAGTATTGTTTTTGTTCTTCTGTGGCATTTCTTTGTTTGCCTACTGAGAGGCATCCCTGGGATGTTTTGGGATATTTCAGAAATGTGGGCATGAGGATGTTATTTTGAGGCGTAATATGCAATTCCCAAAGAGGTCTTAGAAGGATATTGAAAGTATTGTTTTTGTTCTTTTGTGCCCTTTCTTTGTTTGCCCCACCACAACGTCTCATGCTTACGTCACAATACGATGAATTCTGCTTTGTTTTCGATTTTGTTCTTCTTGTTCGCAATTGGCATTCGCGTTTGCAGCGTGTCACGCTTACATCACGCTGCTAACGAACAGAAAGGAATTTGGTGGAGTTTATTGTGTTAGAAGACTCATTTAGTATGTAATAATGACCATCAGATGCAAGATGGTTCGGTGCCTCAGTGTAATAAATATGTAAAAGTCCGAATTCATCAATACACATCAGCTTCTCCGCAGTTGCAAAATTATGCATTGTGGAGAACATTTCAAAAATTGGGAAACCTAATTCCAATTATATGTCTGTGTGTAGTAAGCACTACTCAGAAACCGATTAAGAAGGTAATTTCATATCAAGAAAATATTTTTATGTTCAATCTATTTTTAATGCATTTTTTCATTCAAGGGAAATGGAATCCTAATGCAAAAGTTCATTTTGACAAAAGGCTTCAGAAAAGTACCTCGAAAATGGTTTTTTTACAGCGATTTAATGTGCGCAAGACGCGTTGAAAATGTTCTATTGTGTCCATGAAAAGGCTTTAAAAAGAACTAGGGAGAAGGTAGTTTTGTGACATATCAAGGACATCTCGATAATTGCCGCCTGCGGCGGACATTGGCTGTTCTATAATAGTTCTATTCATGTGTGAACAGAACATCGCAGTGGAGGTTCAATGTCTCGAAATCTCGTACTTTCAACATCTCTGAGATGTTTTTGTGCTCGCTGGGTAACCATGACTATTAATTCCATTTCAATATATTATTCCAGATTTTTTTGGGATTTTCTCTCCTCGTTTCTATAAAATAAGAATATGAATATTATTCCAATATACGTGTAGTAAGGACAAATCAGATGATTTGGGATCAGAGAGCCTAAAAGAAAAATTCACTAGCTTGTCAGCGACAATTTGTATTGAAAAAGGTTTAGAGATGAAAAATAATGGTATATGTATAGAAAAAATATCAAATTTTCACTTATCTTATATATGCAAATCCGGGAATAATTTTACCTCTAGTGGTATTACAAGTACAAATTTTATACGAGTCATTTTCGGCCAATCAGATGCTTTATTTTGGCATTGTTACTGATGAGGTAACCAGAATACTTTCTGAATATTGTTCATCAACATGAGCATATAGACGTGAAATTGATAAGTGGAGATTTCCTGGCACATGACAGCTACCATATGATTAGACAATAATGATATTGACAATATTTTTCATTTCCATGAAACCTAGTAAGAGAATTATATGAAATCAATCATTTCTATATACTTAATAATGTATCGATATTATAAAAGTCATTTTACTAGGGCACGAAAAAAAAACTCCCAATACGAACATCCACTTTTATTTTCAGACTATATTGACATTGCCCTGAAACCTATCAAGAAAATTGTATGAAAGGAGTCAATTTCATTTAATAATTCATCTGATTTTTTTTTTCAATTTTCCTTGGGCACATGAGAGTAAAATAACGTCCGAATAAACAAAGAATCACTTAATGAAATCTTTCTAAGAATAATTCTGGTATGAAATGTTCTTACCGAACTTGCTTGAATAATTGCGGGACATTTTTTGACTACTTTTTGAAAAAAAATGCATGTACGGCATCTTTTAAATCATATGATTTGTATAATTGATTGACTGAATGGATTTGATTCAATTCAAATTCAATTTTTTCATTCGACAGCATTTTAATCAAACTTTGTTTTGAAATATGTTTCTTTCACTACCACTACTAGGATTTTCTTCCAATGTGATCATTTCTAAAAACCTCCGACCGATCGTGCTTCAATACACTTCTTCAATTTGAATACTTCGTTTTATTGCCGGGATTCCAACATTGATGATACTTCAACGTTCAATTGTTTTCCTTGCAGACAATCGCACAAAGGGTCTTTACTCTTTTGTTCGGGATGATTTGATTTGATGACGGAATTTTTCATCTGGAGGGCGTACATACCGAGTGTTCAGATATCATAGGATATTATTCGAAATATAACATTCAATGGACTAGAAGATAATATGAGCGTTTTCAGATACCTATTTGAGTTGTTCATTTCAGAAAAGAAGCATTTATTCATTCATTTCCACTCAATAAGCTTATGGAAATTTCGAACGCGAATATCTTCGTAATCGTTTATAAGAACAGTATTGTTTTTATTTCTTAAATATTTAGAATCATTACTCAAATACCTTTCAATTCCATATTTTTAAAGAATTATATGGAGGATTTTTAGGTGCTAAAATCATCAATAATGCCACGATAATTTTCATACGGCCAGAAATTTACCGTCAGTAAAAACTGAAATAGGATTGGGAACTTCAGAAATATTAATTATTCGATAATTCATAAATTATCAATTGAGTAATGGTAATATATCAAGTCACCCTAGAAAACATTTGAATCAGTAAACGTGACGACCACGGCGCACGACTTGTGGGCGTTGTCTTGTCAGTGCTCAGCATTCAGCACAATGTTGTCAAGTCTCTAACATCCAAAAGTCAAGAATGAACTGAAACATCATGATTATAATTGGTGACTAGACAGG